CTAAAGCATTTAGAGCAAATCTGACATGATTAAAAATGTTCATCAGGTCAAGATCTCTCTGCCTTGAAATTTTCAGACGCGTCAGACAACCCGTTGATGGATTGTTTCCCCTGAATTGGTAATTTTTAAGGAAATGTTGCAGTTTTTGGTTATTATCTTGAATATTATAATAGATAGAGATAAACTGTAACAGCAAAAATGTTCAGCAAAGTAAGCTCAACAAATAAGTCAAATGATCAAAATTGTCAATTAACCCCTTCAGGAGGTTTTGCCCTTTAAAGTCAATTTTTCACAATTTTTCTTAAATGTTTGTAATCTTTTTGTAAAATCGTCTCCACTGAATCTACTGCGCCAAATAGAATTAAACCAAGCCACAATTTTCAAAAAGGTATCTTGATTGAAAAATGTATCCGATGAACCTGTTATCCTACCAACAAAGCCGCCATAGCTAAAATAGAACATAGGGGTTTACTATAGGATCAATGGTGAAATTGTAAAAAAACAATTTCAAATGGTCACATATTGAAAACTAATTTAAATAATGATAAGGAGTCTTCAGTAACTATTGTAAGACTGCAATGGAATGATCTGCTTTAAATTTAACTACTGGGCCGAATTAAACCAAACTTGGCCTCAATCATTATTAGGGTATCTAATACTATTTATTATGATTTTGATTTTTTTTTAAATGATTACAGTAGATACAGGTGAGCGTAACAGGCTCTTGAGAGCCTTCAGTTATGCATTGATCGCCAGCTTTACGAATCCTGATTCTATAAAAAAAAAATGTCAGGATAAGGAATAGGAAACTGGTAGATTTGTACTAACATGAGCAACACGACGGGTGCCATATCTGAAACAGGATCTGCTTACCCTTCCGGAGCACCCGAGATCACCCAATGTTTTGGAAGGATTTGTGCTGCTCAGTATTTAGTTTTCTATGTTGTGTTTTGTGTACTGTTGTTTGTCTGTTTGTCTTTTTGTCTTTTTTAGCCCTGGTAAGCATCTCTAACTTCATTTTTATGCAATGACCACTAGCTATGCGAGTCCAGATTCTCAGTGTTCATTTACCAATGGTCATTAGGTTCTTGCTACATTAATGTGATTATACCACATTTTGATACTAGTATAACAAATTAAGTTATGAATTCTGAATTTTAAAGACGAAATTTATCATTTGAATTTTGCCAGTACCACAACACTGTTTACTGGACTTGTGATATTTTCTGACCGTTCACTTGACTTGTGGTATATTCTCTCTATTTACTGGACTTGTGATATTTCCTGACCGTTCACTTGACTTGTGGTATATTCTCTCTATTTACTGGGCTTGTGATATTTAGGCACGGGTTGTGTTCATATATTTTTAATTTTTCTGTTTGTTTATAGTATAAAATAAGTCTTACTGTTTATTAACAAAGTGACAATTTTATAAGATGGAAATCACAATGAATGTGAAGGAAAACACATTGGTAATAGATAGAACAGATTTACATAAACGAAACACGCCGTAATGTGTTATCTTGGACGTTTCCAGATATGAATTGTTTTGTTTTTAAATATTTATAGAAAGAATATCTCAATAAGATGGAAATGTTACCTGAAAATACCTCCAGCATCTTATTCTGACCTTTTTTTCTTTGACAGCAAAGTATTCAGTAAAGTAAGAATTTGCTAGAAAATATTAAATTACATAGGCGTTTTTCCGGTCGTGATTATGGTAAAATAACAAATTATAAATCTAGGAGAATGAGCAAGTAAACATAAAAATAAAAAGTATAAACACACACTAGCTTTATTTAATACCATGTCAATAATTTTCTTCATACATATAAAACTGGTAATCATCTACAATGTGATATTATAACGTCTATATACAGTTAGATAGTATTTCAAAAGTTGATTGCTCCCTTGGTGTCGTCTTATTTTCTTCTTCCATCATTTAAAATGAAACCTCAAACCGTCGTCTGTAGTAATAAGACTCCATTTGATGCTCTTAAATCATTGGTATTAATTCATGAAAAAATCGTGGTTGTTTATAATAAAATTTATCTGATGGCGATTTTTGATAAATAATAGAATATTTACTCACGTATTAGATTAAAGTTACTTTAGGGTTAAAAGGTTGTTCGTAAAGTTATATCATGCAAAACGTAAATGTAAGTAATTACTTGTTGACCTGTTTTGTTGTTTTTAAATATACCTACCATGAAAGACTTAATGAATTAGTTTGCAAACAAAGCAAACCTTACAATAGAAAATTTTCAACGCATCGTTTCTAGAATGGAATAAAAGCGAATATCCTGTATTGTTTCATGACACAGAATCGCCTAACTCCTTTGTCAAATTCTAAAACAAACGAACGTCACTTGTATTGCTGTTATTAAACGCCCTCGTCGAAATCTAAAGCAAACAAACGTCACTTGTATTGCTGTTATTAATTTTATAGTGAACGTAAGGTCTAAAGACTATACAGAAATCAACACCACTATACATGTCAAAATGGACCCGGCCACTGGTTCGAGCTAACAAGCAAAAACTCATGAATGTTGTTAATTTACTTCCGATCATCTTATTTGCTTATCTTATTTTTGAACTTGGTGGATTTTTACTCCATTCACTTCGTGCGATTGGTAATTTTTGTCCGAACATGTATTGATATTATTAATGTTTGTTTTTGTCATATTGAAACACTATATAAAATTATTTCTTATTTCAAAATAATCAATTTCAATGTTTTAGGGTAATCAAGTGAGCCTTTTTTTATAATATGCGGTCGCTGGGGGTTTAGTGACATAATCTAAATACTAGATTGCGCCACGGTTTAAAAATAAAGGGATGAAATATGAATGTGAATGAAACAATTATTCACTAGAAACTCTACTGAGTAGAGACCAAACAAAAAACAAACTGAAGGTAACCAAACAGCCTTCAAAAATTAAACAACATATACCGTATAGTCAACTGTAATGCCCGACATAACAACATATGAAACAATGCAAACGAGAAAACAAAATGCCTGATTTATGACAAACTATAAAGAAAAGTGACAGACAATAACCAACTATAACCACTGAATTACATACTTCTGACTTGGGATAGGCACATAAGTAATAACAGGTTAATACATGTATGGGACCGTTCAAACCCCTCTAACCTGGCTAGGTGGTGTAACATGTTCAAATCAGTTTGAAATGACTTGACTCATCATACTGGCACGAAACAAAAACCACATAGTTAACATAAAGACAAAATATAAAACTTATAAAACATGAAAATGTTACTAAAGGAGAAGCAAGGCAGATTTTTTTTCAAAGATGGGATAAACAGGGTGGTATATGTAGAACTAGACCAATCATTAGTATAGACAATAATTAGAAATCAATGAGATAGCAACATTATTACTGTTTGAAATATTTCTCGTATTTCTATTCCTGTATTATAACACGCGAACCATAACCAACTTAACTTAACCTTTTAATAATGATACATGTAAAGTATGGTAAAAATGAGGCAATCGTTGTTTACCGATGTTAACATTTCATAAAAGTCTTCACACATATACAAATCAAGCTAAAAACAAAACCGGGGGAACCGCATAAACTACAGAAAGAGCGAGACCAGATGCGTCAACAGGGTAATTGTCTCCTGTTATGCATACGAATCCACATTCAGTTGAAATGTCAGAATCGGTAAAGGACACAATCGATAAATTCACAGATCAGGCGACTAATCTAATACCTAAACATCCATAACCACTGCGAAAACATGTTACTGTGCGTAGTGACACAGAGACATATATATATCGGTTAATCAATTTCGTATCGGTCAGCTAATGGTTATTACATTAACAGAACCAATTGTATTGTACCAGATTGTAAAAAGTTCTTTTTTTCATTATGTATGGTACCGTTATAAATCTTCGTGCACTTTTGGAGCACATGAGATCACCCTAATATTTTGGTGGAGTTCGACCAACAGTATTGCACCAGATTGTAAGAATTTCTTTTTTTTTTGCATTATGTATGGTACCGTTATGAATCTTCCTGCACTTTCGGAGCACATGAGATCATCTTAGTATTTGGTGGTGTTAATCAGTATGTTTTGTGTGTTGTGTTTTGTAAAGTATTGTTTTTCTTTTGGTCTTTTTTTTTCGTTTTTTGCCATGGTGTTGTCAGTTTATTTTCGAATTATGAATGTGAATGTCCTTTTGCTATCTTTCGCATCTCCTTTATAGTTTCATGTTGAAATATGATATCAAATGACAATTTAAGAATAATAAGATGTGAAATGAATACCTATGAGACAACAATGCTGGAATATTGTATTGAAATTATGACGTTTTTGATTCCTTTAAGTCAGTAAAGCTAACGATAATATCGATGCTGGTTTATAATTTCGCTTTGCTTCTGTGATGAAATTACCACCTTGTATTTTAAGATTCTCGTACATCAAAGAATAAAAATTATGTTCTTTCATAAGCTGTGATTACTGATTTTACATCTGAACCAAGAAATTGAAGTCAAGAAAATAAAAATGGATCTGTAAAACTGCAGTAAATATATGCATGCAGCTGCACGCTTAAGTTACATAGTTATACGTGCTGAGTTTTAAAATGTACAGCAATTGTCAGATTTTTAGATATTCATCGAAAAATTAACATGAATGGCAAATATTGTCAAAGCTTTGCCAACAAAATGTAGTATTTGAATTGATAGCCAAACAATATATCTGAAAACTGATGTTTAAAGTTGAATGCGACGGTCGTTTATCTCTTGCCTGTTCTTGTAACGTGTGATTACAATATATTCATGACAATTTAGTTCAATTAAGGATATTAAAAGTGATGAGCGATAAAGGATGTGAAAACTTGTAACCACGCATGCACAGATAAACCATCAAACTGAGAGATAAAAGATTGATTAAATAAATCCAAGGTAGTCCATCTGCTGGGAAATACGATCACATAGAAATGGATTTATAGACAAATTGCTTTTTATGTGTTAAATACAGAATTCCGCAGGTAAATAAATGCGCAACTTGTATTAGTGTTGGATTTTAGATAAGAGTCATGACGAAATTTAGTGTTCAAGTAATAATTTTGGTTTGGATTATTTTTCTGCTTATAGAAATAGAAGGTAAGTGCCTTTTTATTATTAGATTGAAAGTTTGTTCAATAAATTCATATTCATATCCGTTCTTGCTAACCTTGCAAAGGAGTGCAAAGGTTAAGACTAAATATGTTGCCAGTCAAAGATTTTAAAACAAACAGATTTTTTAAAAAAAAATGGATGTTTGACCTTTTACGATATAACAGTAAACGAAAAAACAGTATTTATTGTTAGTGTTTTTCGGCTATTGTACATGAATAATTAGGTTCTTATACCTTATTGTATGTTAAACTTATGATTTATTCATAAAGTGTTGTTTCGGGTTAATAAAAATTTGGGCGGATCAATTTTGACATGAAAAAGAGGTTGTTACAGAGTAGTAGAAAGTGGTTAACGCAATCTTATCCAAATGACAAATTCAACATTAGCCACAGCATATAGCCATATAGTTGCCTGTTTAAATTTTAGGATGCAAATCTGTTCACCTTTGATGGTAATGGACATTGCTCCTTTCTTTAAGTTGACATGAATTATCATTGATATGGTCATTCTATAAAATTAACTGTTTATAAAACTTGGAATTTTTCGAAATACTAAGGATTTTGTACCCCGGGAAAAGATTACCTTAGCTGTATTTGACAAACCTTTCGGAATTTTGGGTCCTCAATTCTCCTTCAACTTTTTACTTTATTTGGCTCTTTTACCTGTTTTGGTTGGAGCGTCACTGATGTGTTTTTTTTTTGTAGACGAAACACGTGTCTAGCGTATAAAATTTACATCCTGGTAGCTATGATGAGTTTATTTCTATCATAACCTTGTGTAGCTGCTTGCGTTCATGTTACATTTACTGTAATCGAACTTTTTAATTACTTATATCTCAGCATATCTCATTGTAAATCTATTTATGAAATATGATAAGATCGTCCATAAATCATTTTATGCTCAATCTATATTCCAATTATGCATAATTGTGATAAAACTGAAGAAACGTTTGAAAAGGTAAAAACTCAAGAAAAAGATAACAAAATAATAAAGTAATAATCTGTGACTGCAGTGAGATTTTGATATGACATAATATGTATTATGATGTCATTGATCGTTCCCGAAATAGGTCATCCGTCATAGATCTATAATATACGCGTTTTATCAACATAACCACAGTCTGTTGAATAAGGCAATACAAATCAAAACAATACGTGTCAAATTATTTTATGACAATTCTATGCATTTTCAATGCCTATACATTCTAGATAAAACGCGTACAACTTGCTTTAATGTTTTCCGACAATGCAATATAACGTTTATATAGTTAATGTAACAATAGTAAATACATACAAAATCAACATTAAAAGTTAACCGTGATATGGCCGCGGACAGTTAGCATTTTACAGTGACGTAGAACGCACAGATGAATATGTGACGGCATATATCATCTGACGTAACTCCTAGTTACAATGATAAAATTTCATTTATCAAATATTTTTCTAAGGCTTGTTTGAGAATTAAATTACCCGAGAAAACCAGTTCAATGTATTCTGACATTTTGTGATTTACAATTGTTATTATCAAACAAATTGACCTAAAATTAAATGCCCTGCTTTACATGATTCGTTTGCACCGAATAATGTGATTTGTCATATTTTCTTTTGAGGTAATGGATATTTATAAAATCTATATCGATTTAACCACAAACTAAGAAAATGTTATTGTTTTGAAATTACTCAGAGACGAAATTACAGATTTTTCTGGAGATAGTCAAACGTTGAAGCCAGACTGTTAAGACATGGAGTGTTTCTTTTCAAACTTAATACTTATCTTTTTGTAATCATGAAAACCTCTTTCAGTTCAATACATTCCTAATAGGTTTTATTATGAGCATGCAATAATGCGACATTCTACAAAATATGTACATTAATAGTTTGAAGATTATACTCCAAGGAACAATGCATGTTCAGTATTGATGTAATGGTGCAATCTGAAGAAGCTACAAAGCAGAAAAAAAGTAATTATAAAGCAATTTTGTTTATTCATTACGTGGAAATTTCTTGACACCTGATTTAATGCTAAGTAAAACTCAATTTGTTTGAGACCTTCCAAGATGGAAAATCAGACTTGTCTTTTAGATTTAATGAACGTTTTACTCATCCGGAATCCGGTCAGGTAATTTCCTCTTTATAAAAATAAGGAAATCAGGTATGGTTGCCAATGAGACAACTGTCCACCAAAGATCAAATAAAGTTGATGAAAGCCATTAAAGGGAACCGTACGGCCTTCAACAATGAGAAAAACATATACCGTATAACCGGCTATAAAAGGCCCCGACATGAAAAAATATGAAACAATTCAATTGAGAAAACCAACGACCTAATGTAAAACAAAACAATTTACGAAAAACAAATATGACAGCCATGAACCAACGACAACCACTGAACTACAGGCTCCTGACTTGGGAAAGACACGTACATAATGTGGCGGGGTTAAACATGTTTGTGAACGCTCAACCATCCCCTAACCTGGGACAGTGGTGTAACAACATAAGAACAACTATAAAAAATAAGTTGAAAATGACTTAACTCATCTTTGTTTGTTTATCCAAATAAGATTTACGAGTTGCTAACAGCGGTAAAAGGTTTTTTTTAAATCTATGAAAACATGCATTAGTTTAGAATCACATTACAAACCCTCCGTTATAATATGAGCACAAAGGATGTCTAATTTGTTTGAGAAAGTCAGAGATTGTGGATGCTTTATTCTCTCTTCGTGACAAATATTTCGTAATCTAATCACATGGAATTAAATTTTACCACTTGAAACCCTTGATTCAATAGTTTCCTTTTTAAGCAGCAACCCTTTTTACTGAAATCATGATACATTGTGGAAAATGTAAGCACTGGCATATCGTATCAATTTGAAGATATATAATCTGCTGGTTATTCAATTCTTCACAATTGTTTTTAACTGTCTGGCTTATCACTCTTTATGTTGGTGTTCAAAGTATAAAGAGTTTATTTATCTTTAATATAAAAGGGTTTTTCCCCTTTTTTGTGTGTGTTAGTTAATAAAACAGCAGATATGTATTGGTTTTTGGTTTGAAAGGAAATGAAATCATATGATTAAAGTAATTGCAGAGTCGTCAAATGAATAGGTAAGTACAACAAAAATAGTTGTCAGATTACAGAGTCATTATTATGTCAATGTAGGTGAAATCAGGAACTTAAGTCATATAATTAAACCTGTAAGACCAAATTAACAATGATCTGTAGTATTAATGCGACAGTGCTATATATCATAGAAATTACTAGCCTTGATCTGTATAACAACCTAAATATGTTCTTTTTAGCTATTGGGAATTGACGATAACAGTGCATTGTATGCAAATGTACTTTTGTTCAAAAGCAAAGAATAAAACATCCAATTGCTTTTGATGTTTGAATTGGTATCAATGTATAACCTTGAGGAATATCATTGCCGCTGACTCGTCGATTATCAATGTTGGAAATGCTTCTAATTATTTCATAAAATGTCACATTTGTTCCAATATATATGAATATATTGTCAGCTGTATAAGTATAAACATGATTTAGTGTGGAGAAGGTTAACCTTATCCAATATATTAATCTTTTATTAATTAAGCTGTCAATAGATACATGTACTGAATGTATTTCTCTGTGTGTATCACGAATATTATATCTAAACACTCATCAAACAAACCAGGCATTTAAATGCTATAATTTTTATTCGAATTCTAATTTACACCGCTGCCTCTTTTTACACAGTGATATTATGGTAAATACAAAATGATGACTTTCAATAATTACGAATTACGAATTCATGTTGGGATCAAACATGACATATGCTGAACATATAGTTTGCATTAAATGACCTCATACGATAATTGTAAATTAGCTGAATCCAAACTGGATAACACCATACATGGATTATTTAATACATGCACTAGTAAATGAGGTTAACACTGATACGGTCTTTTTGATATACACGAAATTTATTTTTGTCCATAAAAGGTCGTTTTGAATTGGCGTATAATTGCAAAAATATTAAATGCCATCAGTGCAAGGCCTGTATTGGTAGTTAATGTCGTTAAACATTCCCTTATTGTCATGGCACGTTCAACATATATCAATTGTATACTAGTTTCAAATTGGTATATACAAAGAGGCGGAAGATAACAAAGTCGAAAACGAACTAACGATGCCAGGGAAAAAACGAGTAACGTCCAAACAACAAATTACAGTCTAAAAAAAAAAAAAAAACAGAGAAAGACTGAGCAAAATGAATCTTACCAAAAACATTGTTTGATATTAGATATTCCTGTCGGAAACAGATCCTGCTTAACATGTGGCATCTGTACAAACCTAAAAAAACAATTATATTGGGTAGGTTACTTCGAGAAAAAAAGGACAAAACAGTGGTTATGACAATAAGAACATATCCGTCGTCAACTGTGACAATGATTAATCGGATTAATGTTGGCGTTGTAATTTTGTGTTACCACGTGCACCATTGGCTTAATGGTACTGCCGGTAGACTAATAGACCTCGGATGTATCACAGCCCTGTCATTTAGTATCAAAGTGCTAGTGGATTTCCAGAATGGTCAGTTTGGGAAGCGTCATAGAAGAGTTTTTTTAAACGATTGTCAAGGGTTCTATGCTGGTTTGGTGTCTTTTGTTTTACATTATGTCTCGTTTCTTCTCTCTTAAATACGTAGTATTGGCTAAAACATTTCATTTCGAGTACAATATATATTTGAATTAGATTAATATGTTATTAAAACTTCATCTGCTGGTAATATGTTCAAACAAAATGCAGCTTGTTCGAGACGAACTAACAAGGCAATGAGCAGTTTAAACTTTGAATTTTTCGAAAAACTAAGGATTTTCTTATCCAAGGAATAGATTACCTTAGCCGTATTTGGCACAACTTTTTGGAATTTTGGGTCCTCAATGCTCTTCAACTTTGTACTTGTTTGGCTTTATAAATATTGTGATCTGAGCGTCACTGATGAGT